AATGTAACCAGGGCTGACTATCTCCTGAAAATCAAAAGATGACGTTGACTACCAACAGATGGCGTTGACTATCAACAGATGGCGTTGACTACCAACAGATGGCGCTGATTTTTTTTACTTTGTATTCTTATTAGTGTTTCAATATTATGATGATCATAATTTCACAAATTATAATAATAGTATCGATATTGATGGCATAAAAATCAAGGAAAGTGGAATTCAAGTGCAGTCGTGTAGGGCCTACTAGTTGACGCCTTGGTCCTAAACGCATGTGGAGCCATCTATGTGCAAACAAACAAACAAACAAACTTGTGGACAGTCAGGATATGCCCTAAACATATGAATCATAGACAAATGTCTATTTATCTATCTATATAGATCCATATATGAGTTTATATGTCATGTTTACCAACAGATGGCGTTGACTATCAACAGATGGCGTTGACTATCAAAAGACGGCGTTGACTACCAACAGATGGCGTTGACTATCAAAAGATGGCATTGACTACCAACAGATGGCGTTGACTATCAAAAGATGGCATTGACTACCAACAGATGGCGCTGACTACCCCCACTGTTGGTCTGCTGTGTCTCGACTGTGTTAGATCATGCTATAATGTTAATTTCGATTTTCTAGCACCAAAGGAAAGGTTACCAAGAATTAGCTACATTTGAACTAGTGCAGATTTTGGTTGGGTCATGGAGAATATATATAGCATTATATAGATAGTTCTGTACTCTGAATATAATAAACACGTGCTGTCACTAAATGGATAGTTCTGTACTCTGGATATAAACACTTGTGCTCGCGATCAAACCAACTAGGTATGTGCATTTTATCATTTCTTGAAGTTCATGTTAATGCATAGCTAATAAAGGTAGTTTACAGAAGTATTTACAAGAACATGGAAACATATACATATCATATAGAACCCAACTGATATAGTGTAACGAATAAAAATAAGGAAATAAATAATAGAATAGAATTTTTTTAAATATGTTATAATACCACGTCCTCTATTTCTAGCTAATATTTAAGAAATCTCTTTATTTTGTATTTCTCTTTTCTTAATTTTTCCTCTTCACAGTTTCGGGATAATGAAAATACAAACCATAGGTATTTTTTTCTTTTATTCTACACAAGAAATAAAATCTTGTGTCAGTAAATAAATTATAAAATATCTCATAAAAAACTTACTTAAACGGATAATAACAATATACAAATTCAATACATTATAAATTGCATATAAAAATAATAGGCACACAATATGGCAATAGTATCAGCAACCAGCTCGCGGTCGTCACGAAGTCAGGGTTGAAGGGGAGGGGGGGGGGGGGAGGGGGAGGGGGGTTGACGGGAATTTCTTTTCACCGATTTCGACGCCGAAGCTCCCGCGATGGTCGAGATTTTATTTCATTCTCCTCAAGAGCGGGAGGGGAGGGGGCGGGGAGGGGCGGGAGGGTGGCCGACGCATCTCAAAAATATGCGAAGACAAGGCCTCGGAAAGAAAGATTGGATTTTCTCGTGATCACGTGGTCGAAGATATTTTTTTTCTGCACCTAGACCGCGCGTTGCTATGTACATTATATCTTATTATTTTTTGTAACGAAATATAAAAGAGTATCAAATAAAAAAAAATCTATTTTTTCAAAATGAAAATCGGAGCTTCTATCGCCAAAGAGAACCATACAGATTGACTTGGATTTTTACATTCCTCCAACGTTCGGAAGAGAGAAAGAGCTATACAAAATCAGAAAGGAAAGAGAAGGGGATCGATCACCGCGAGGATTTAGAGATTTCGGAGACGGGCAAATACGGTTCACATTCGGCCGGGTTCGTTTCAGACGGAACGAGGCCTCGACCCAGAGAATGTTCGCGTATACGGCCATGCGCGTCTACCGAAATCAACGCAGTATCTCTTTAATCTGAGAACTATGCACGCATCTATCTATCCGGTAGATGTGCATGTCTAGACCGGTAAGAGATGCGTTTATTCCGGAGTGCACGCGTGTCCGGAGACGCGAACACCCCTCGCGTCGGGCCTCGCGCAGCAGGCACGAAAAGGCCGATGATCACTGGCAGTTCTGAGGCCTCTTGCTGACCTCGGACGAACATCGTGATACATTGTTCTACATGCTGAGTTATTTTCTTTTTAATCAATGTTTACTCTTTTTTCTTGAACTCTTGTTTACTCGATCACGAAATGAGTGTTTACAATCACAGTCTTTCTATTTTTTTTTTTAACAAGAGTAAGCCAAGGGGAGCATCTAGCACGCTGTAATGTTTACCTTATTTTGAATGATTTTAAAAATTGTTATTCCACATTCAATTACGTTATCAAATGACTGATTTTCTCGCAACAGCCGTGCCAGTGGACCTCTTGCTATGACTCTTTAACTATCGGATGATCCCAATGCATGAATGACGTCACAAATTTCCGAAAAATCTATTGACGTAAACAACTTTTGAGGATTTGCTGACGTCACCAATTTTCGACAATATGACCGACGTTGCCAATTTTCAAAGAAGAAATAAAATAATGTTGACGTCAGCAATTCATAAAAATGTACTAACATCAATTTTCCTTTTTTTTTGTTGTTGTTGTTGACGTCACCCATTTTCAAATCACTGTAGATGTCACCAATGCTCGAAGTTTCATTTTCAAAAACCTTCGCCGGGTACATTCGGATGCAACTGTACACAAAACGTTCGGGAACATCCGGTCAAAAGCTGCACAAAACATCCTATAAAATGCAGCTCCGACCACGCAAATTACAGGAATTCAAGTCTTTGGATTCTTTTCCTTCTGCACACAACTGTGGACATGTGGTGGCACACAGGCGTGCTGTGTGTGTGTGTGTGCATATGTATATATGTGTAAATACATATATATATATATATACAGATACATACATAGGTACATACATACACACACTCACACATACATACATACATACATACATACACACACACACACACACACACACACACACCACACACACACACACACACACACACACACACACACATATATATATATATTATATAATATATATATATATATATATATATATATTATATACATATACATACATAAATACATGTATATATATGCATATATACACACACACAAACATATATACATATTATAATATATATATATATATATATATATATATATATATATATATATATATATATATATATATATATATATATATTATATATACACACACACACACACAGACACAGACACACACACACAGACACACACACACACACACACACACACACACACACACACACACACACACACACACACACACACACACACACACACACACACACACACACACACACACACACATATATATATATATATATATATATATATATATTATATATATATATATATATATATACATATATATATATATATATATATATATATATATATACATATACATATACATATACGCACACAGGTGTAACTTATATGTAGATGTAATATATATGCAGAGAGAGAGAGAGAGAGAGAGAGAGAGAGAGAGAGAGAGAGAGAGAGAGAGAGAGAGAGAGAGAGAGAGAGAGAGAGAGAGAGAGAGAGAGAGAGAGAGAGAGAGAAATATTTGCATTTCAATGAGCATACAGTGATTAACAGAAACGAAAGATGCGAAGAATATGGCGTAAGGTTTCTGCAGAGATGCAATTGCTGAAGCGTATTGTGTGGTGCAGGAATTATTTTGTTTTTAAGACGTACTCTTTTGAGAGACCTTCAGCCCGCAGAGGTGCCAAAGGGCCTCATGGTAACGCTCATGGCATTTTCACGAGGTCGAAATTGCCATGGGACTTCTGGTAATTTTTGGTTTTGTTCCTATCTAGCAATTTTGCGAGTTCATACATTGCGTGTGGCATCATAGACATCATCTATAGACGGATAACAACACAGGTCATTATGTAGAAAATGTACAAATATATATTTTACAGGTCTGAAGAACGCCATAAATTCTAGAACATTATGGAGGCAAAACTACACATCTACATCTGCACCTCCATTCGTAAACACTGCCCAAGAACACCTCATTAATTAGGTCTAGAATTCAGTCCCTGATCACGTGGCATTGCAAGAGCGACAGGCTGGTCACAGTCGGAACTTTGCGCTCCACCAATCAGCGCGCTCAGTCACTCCTCTGATGAAAAACATTATTCTGAACTCCACACTTCCGCGCCGTACACCGTTGCAACAGCGCGGCTGCCCTCTACACTATGAAGTCACTCTGTAAAGGCATTTGGCACTAGTCACAGTGCCTCGGCACGAACTGGCTTTGTACATGCTTGTCGACGCTCTTCGTGGCACCGAGCACACTCCAGGTTACAGGGAAGACACACGGCGTCTTCCTACTGGTCGCGCGGCTCGCCCACAATCCGTGTCAGAAACCCTTGCCACGGGGTCTCCGGGGCGCTCGGGCGACGCGCTCAGTCGCTCGCTCGTCAGCGCCGCCCTCGGGAGCAGGGCGCAGCAGGCAGGCGCTTCCGGCTTCCGAAGCAGCGTCGCCACCGCGGGGGAGGAGGTCAGGAAAACCGGGCAAAACGTCGCCTTCAAGGAGTCTTGCGCGCGGCCTCGGGACTCCATGTGGAGCCAGGCGATTCTCGGCTCTATAATCACAGAACATAAGGCGAAAAAGGTACAGAATGTACGAGAGAACTGGCACTACTGCTGGGAGGACTGTACATACTACAAAGCAACATCTGGCACTGTACACTGCACGACAGTAGCATTACTTTGGTACACAGAGGAGTGAGTACGTTGATGCTTAAGGGAGTCACCTCACCACTTTGGCACTGTCAACTTGGCACAGGTGAGTTGGCACTTGCAGTCGCTGCATGGCACGCTGGCGCCGAGCTCAGCTGCCGCAGGTCGCGGGTCTCGTTCGTGGGCCGAAGTGACAAGGGCTCACATTATTTGGCACTGGTATGATTTTTCTAATCACTGGCACGACACTGGGGAACACTGACGCACGAGCGCGCACACCACTAAAAGAAGCCGGGGTTAGTATGTTCTATGATACATCGTCGGCAGTGCTTCTTGACTGTCCTGTAGCCATCGATAGTCACTTGGCAGTCCTGAATATTGAGCTGCTGGAGCCCGCGGCAATAGTACGCGATGTACTGCACGCCGCGGTCGGTGATCATATCGCACGATTTCACGGAGAGTTTCTTCAGGTTCGGACAGTGCTCCGAGATGAGCTTCATGCCGTTGTCGGTGACGTCGCACTTGCCGATGTCGAGCGCCCGCAGCCTCGGGCACGACCGGGCCACCATTTCCATGGAGTCGTCGCTGACAGCCTCGCAGCCCCGCACGTTGAGGTAGCGCAACTTGTAGCAGTGGCGGGCGATCTGCTTGATGCCCGCGTCGCTGATCTGGTCGCACTTGGCCACGCTCAGGTAGCGCAGGTTGGGGCCCAGCTTGGCCAGCTCGTACATGCCGAAGTCCGTGATCTGGACGCAGTCGGACACGCTGACCTCCCGCAGCATCAGGCAGTAGCTGGCCATGTGCTTCACCCCCGCGTCTGTGGAAGACAGGTCCGTCACGCGTCTGCATTTACACTTTGCATCAATCTTATTGTTAATGTAACTAAAACTACGTTTGTGGAAGAGACGTCGTTGTCTTTGCAATGTAAAAGCATTTCCCTTGACTTTCAAAGATGAAAAGACGGTGGCTCCGACGAACCTTCCAGAGAATTCACCTTTTGATAAACTGACAAGCCAAACAAAGCCCGGGAGACTCACCTGTGATATTAATACATCTCCTGAGGTATAGGTGGAGGAGCTGTGGACAGTTCTTGACGATGACCTTGAGGCCCTGGTCCTCGAGGGCGTAGCAGTCCGTCATGTCGAGGTACTGGAGGTAAAGCTGTCGGGAATGCATGGGCTCGGGCTCCACGTTGCCCTGCTGGGTCAGGTGGATGCAGGTGATCTGGTGGCAACCTGGGGAGAGGAGACCGGTCACCGGCGGCTCTTTCTCAATCATTAGGATTTGGAGATCTGAAGCACTAGCTCGATTTCGAATCACCCTCAAAACAATGATGCAAAGATAGACCTCCCATGACACAAACCGGTTTCAAAGCGACAACAACATTAAAACGATTTTCTCCAAGTTATTCCCAGACGCCTCTCGGTCACATCACGAGGACGACCCCAGAACGACCGCCCAACTTACCGGTGACGTCTAAGTGGTCGAGATTGACGCACTGCGTGACCAGCTCGAAGATCCCGATGTTGGTGACGTTGACGCAGCCCTTGATCTCCAGATGACGCAACTCGGGGCAGCGGCGCCCGATCAGCGACAGCCCGCGGTCCGTCAGCCGGGAGCAGCTGTTGAGGATCACCTGCGGGAGAGGGAGGAGGTGAGCGAGGCGAGAAGGGGAGGCTGAGGGAAGGGCGGGCGGAGGGATGGCCTGCGATCGGCTGGGTGGGGAGGGGGCTGAGGAACAGGGGGGGAAGCCTTGAGATCTTTCAGTATTATCAGTCTAATCATTTCCCTTCCTACTCGGATGTCTAGGACCCGGCGCCTCACCTTCTCGACGTGGACGCAGCCGCCGGAGTCCCTGGCGAGGAGTCTGGTGATCTGCTTGATGGCCCTGTCGGCGTGGATGGCGTCGCTGGTGAGCGTGATGGTGGCCCACAGCCGCGGGTCCCACGCCAGCACGTACCACCTGCGGCACACGCGCGCGCACTGGCACACGGCGTTGGTCGGCAGGAACGACAGGATGCGCACCACCAGCTCGTCGCTCAGCTTGTCGAACGGCGACGACCGCGCCACGCGCTTGCCCTTGTACGTGGCCAGCAGCTGGTCCGTGGTCTCCAGCTGCGGCTGTGGCTGCGGCGTCGTCTGGCCCTGCTGCGGCGGCACCTGCGGCAGCTGTGGGCGCGGCGACGACCGCGGGCACGAGGACAGCGCCGACAGGTCGAGCGCAGGGAAGGGCGAGGCTCTGACGTCGGACCAGGGCGACGGCGTCGTGCGGTCGCGCGTGGGCGTGGGCGTCTGGCGGGTGACGAGCGTGTGGTAGCCGAGGTCATGGCCCGGGCTGACCCGGCCCAGCGTGCCTCCGCCCACGTACACAGAGGGCGACATGCGGCCCAACTTGGTGGCTGCGGCTGCGGCTCGGCCCTCCATGGCTTGCGGGCGCGGCGGCGGCGGGCTGAAGGGCGGCGGGGGCGGCGGGTCGGTGGCGGGGTGGCAGGCCGGGGGCGCCTCGCACACGCCCTCGCTGTCGCCGTCCTCGCACCCGCCCTCGCTCACGTCTGCGGAAAAGGGAGGCGCGTTAGTCTCTCGGACGCTTCACGGACATTACGGGAACGTCATATCATAGGCACAGCGTTATACAAGTTACACGCACTGTTCAGAGACAAAAGCATACACTTATCCTGATCTGCCTCACACACACACATAAAATAATACCCACACACATACAAGATGAAAACACCATACAAAACAT